GACGTAACATTTCCGTCACATGCTTGAGGAATTCGGCCAATCACAACGCACTGGATAGCTGGCCAATCAGAGCACACCTCGCTTTTTCAGACCGATGAGCTTTGTAAAAATCGACGTGTTTCAGAAAGGCAGGGCATAGAGGAGAAACAATAATGTACAGTATGTGGAAAATAATGTGTTTTTTGAAACTTAAACCGCATAAACACATTTCATTAAACCAAATACACGTTCTTTTTAGCAGCATCATATGACCTCTTTAAGAAAGTGACATGTATGTGCTTCTGTTGTACCATTTAAACAATTGTGTTGATTTAGTGTTTATTGATTCCTGTAATGCAGCATTTTTGCCTTTTGTAACAAAAGTGTTTGATCAGTGGGTTTGTGTATTAGGCCTAATTACTTTTTTGACCTTTGTTCTTACTGCATTTGATTTTTTTTTTTGGACATGGCAAGGACCACTAAATATGGTGATCCCTTGTGAGGGACCCCTCTCCTAAAATATAAGAGTGCCTATATATTCGCATGTACTGTATTCAGATCCATTTATATTGTTTGAGAAATAGTACTCTTAAAGGGATAGATACCCCAAAAAAGAAAATTGTGTCATTATTTACTCACTGTTGTTCCAAATCTGTATGAGTTTTGAGTTTCTTTCTTCTGTTGAACACAAAAGAAGATATTTTGCAGAATATTGGTAACCAAACAGTTGCTGGTAGCCATTGACTTCCATACTGAAAAAAAATAAATAAAATACTATGGAAATCAATGGATACCAGCAACTGTTCAGTTACCAACATTCTTTAAACTAAGTTGATGTATTCCCTCAGCGACCAGCACAGATCAGCTCTAGGCATGACGAAGCGGATATCGTCCTCTTTTGGAAGACCAAACAAAGTTGCTTTCACAACGAAACACACAGCTCTTCACGACATGGCGGCGGCTACAATACTACAGCGAGAATAAAAGTTACACCTTCTTTCTTTGCGTGAACATTTGTGCGGCGTTATTCAAATCTTCCCACATAGTGACGTAGGTATGTGCGGGCGTGTTAGAACGAGCCGTTTTAG